GCAGTTACTGCAAGCAAAAGTATAACGACGCCGAGCAATGCCCGAAGTACCTTAGCTGCAAGCACTACTTCTGCCTGCGGTGTATAGAAAACAATTTGTTGAAAGGACGCGAGTTGTTCTGCGCGCACTGCTGGAAGAGGACGGACCTGGGTGACCAAGGGCCCGACGCGCTGCCGACCCACTCGTCTCTTCTTGCCCTGGCCAACAATCTGTCGCACTTGATGATCACGACGAACAACACGTCTGGGAAGACCAACGACAAGGAGAGAAAGGTATCGGGGTATAGTTAGATTTTTGGGGACGGGTTCGTCGCATCCGCGAGCTTGTACGCGAGTGGCGAGAAAGTAGTCGGGCCATGCGGTCGCGAAGCCGTACGTCTAAGGCTGGACGCGTTTCGTCGGCAAATAGGATTACGTCGGAAGGTCTGCGGTAGCTCGTTCGACGACGGACAACGGTGTCCGTCGATTCCCCGCGGTCGGACAGGTCGACGTGACAATGAATACCCTTGTTGCAGAGCGAGAATTGCCACACGCACGGAATGCCCCTGGCGTTATGGTGCGCGACGTGCTGTACGGCGCTTTGCAGGGCGTGCGCGACCCCGCAGGAACACCCAGGTCACCAGATCAAATCGCAAACCGATGCCAAAGAACAACTCATATCCGACGTGAGTATCACTGCTGGCAGCCAGTGTGTGAGAGAGAGGGGGAGAGAGAGAGAGAGAGAGAGAGAGGGAATACATTAGGTACTCGGTTGCTTGTAGGTTCAATTGGAATTAGTCGCCATGGGGAAGCTGTCGAGCGAGATACAAAGACTGGCGATGCAGCAACGGGAGTTTCTGATCAAGGTGCTGGAAGCGTGCGTGACGTTGAAGACACACGTCGAGACGGACCTACAGAACGGCTGGAGCCACTTCCCCGAGATAACGGACGCGCGCGAGACCCTGGGTAAAGCGAAGGCCAGTCTGCAGATGATCGACAGCCCCAGCGACGTGTACAGCCTGCACTCGCAGCTGATGATCGAGAAACAGAGACTACAGTCCAAGTACCAGGAGATGATGCTGCAGTGCCAGCTGGACGACCTGATCGGCAACTCCGGGGTGGTGTTCGACTTCGCGTTGCTGAAGCAGGCGCTCGCCGGGATCCACACCGGGGAGCCGATAGTGTCCCAGGGCGCGAGTAACGGCGGCCGGCTGCCGAACCACCTGGCCGCCTCGCAGAACCCGATACTGTTCCTCGCCAACTACTGCATGTCGCAGCTCTACTCAAGGCACGTGGTCAGCAAGCAGCAGCACATGCAGAACGGCTCCATAGAGTACCATTCGAGCATGATGCAGCCGCAGTCGGCTCCGCCGGGCTCGGTGCACGTGCACCAGGGCCCGCAGGCGGCCGCGAACCCGCAGCAGCTCCTCATCCCGCCCGGCTCGCCGTCCGTGAAACCCGTTCCGCCCGCGCCGCCGAACGCGATGCTTCACCCCCAGCAACCTACAACCTTCATACCGGAGGGGGTCGGCACCGGTGGCGGAGGCCTGGTTACCGTCCACTCATCCTCTCAACCACCGTCCAGCGGGATAGCGGCGTCGCTCCGTGGACCGTCGAACCCTTACCCCCTGTACTACTTCAACATCGAGGTGAACGGCTCGCCCCACGGCCGAATCGTAATAGAAGTCAGGCCGGACGCCGCGCCGAAGATGGCGAAGAACTTCAGCGTGCTAGCGACCGGCGAGGTCGGGGTCGGCTACAAGGGGTGCACGATCTTTCAGTGCTGGGAGGGCGAGTCCGTGATCACTGGCGACTTCGAGCTGAACAACGGCCGCGGAGGCAGGAGCATATTCGAGGACGGCTACTTCATGCCGGACGACACCAAGTTCCCAGCGGTGAGGGGGGCGGTGGGCATGCGCCGGACGCAGAAGCGGCATGACAACCTCGGCATGGTCGGCTCGCAGTTTCGTATAATACTGCAGGAGATGCGCGGTTTCACGGGGATCTTCGGCCACGTGGTCGAGGGACTGGAGCTGGTCGAGAAGATATCTACGTTCGGCGACCAGACCGGCAAGCCTACGAAGAATATTCTAATCACGAAATGCGGCAAATTGTAACGACGACGACAACAACAACGCTGCCGCGGTTAGTATACGCCGAACGGCGCGACGTTGGCGCCCGTATACTCCACAACACACACCGTTTCCCCGCTCTAGATTAACTGAAATTATTACTCCGAGCCGCGCGACGGTTCGTCGTCGTCGTCCTCCTCCTATCCCTCCTCCTTCTCCTCCACCACCTCCTCCGCCTCCTCCTCCTCTTCCTCCTCCTCCTTGGCCCTTGCGTTCGACGGGCCAACGGAGGACGCGTGGAACTGGGCAAGCGACCAAGCTGCACTAGCTCTGGCCGAGCGAACGGATAACGAGAAAGGAAACGAAATCGATCGCGCGCGTTATTACACGAGAGAAAGAGAGAGAGAGAGAGAGAGAACCAGCCAGCCGGCCGGGAACATGCGACAAATTGTACGTTCGCCGGGAAACATCGCCACACACACCCCCCTCGCGGGAGAGCTCTCCCGAAACGGGACATCGCGGGACGGCCCCCACGGCGGCACGAGTCACACACAATTTAATTAACTATTAACAATAGTAATTCTAAAGATGTTGAATCTATTTTTAAAACAAAACAAATGAGAGAACGCGCGGACGCGTACAGAGAAGAGGGAGAGAAGAGAAATAAAGATCCATATTTTGCTATTTGATTGGGAATCGACGTGATTCTGTGTATCTACAATAACGACGATGATCGACGAAATAATACGTACCTCAAGATCGATCGTGATATCGATATGCGACTTCTAGCTGTACGACTGTTCGTTTTAGAAGAAGTTTCGACGTTTATTTTCGCTATTGGCGTATATTGCTGCGTGTAGTTGATAAAGACGAGAAAGAAAAGAGAGGACAGGGAAAAACGAGAGAAACGCCGGGAGATAGAGAGAGTGAGAACGCGGGAGAATCGAACCGCGTCGCCGTGTTCTTTAGGTTGTAGGTAGCGAACAAGCGATGACAACAAAAGAATCGAAGAAGAAGGAGAAAAATACGAAACGCGCAACGCGTGTAGAAACGAGGTTTTCGTTAAACGGAAAAATAGGGGTATGCGCGTACACAATATGCGTTCGTATATTTGTAACAAAAAGGAACAAAAAAAAGAATT